GGATCCTCCATCCCTCCATCCCTCCATCCCTCCATCCCTCCATCCCTCCATCCCTCCATCCCTCCATCCCTCCATCCCTCCATCCCTCCATCCCTCCATCCCTCCATCCCTCCATCCCTCCATCCCCTTTTTCCCAAAACCATGAGATGCTTCCTTGTGATGCAGGAAGAGATGAAGTCACTTGCTAGGGGACATCCAGAAGAGGAAAAGGGGTTAAATATTATTATTTGTGTTGTAATTGTGTCCATGCAACTGATAGAAGTCAGTGCAGAGGGTTCCTGCTGGCTGTTTTCCACATTTTCTCATGTTCTTTCCCTACTTCCAGGGTTTGGAGGATGAGCTGAGGTGTTAGAGAAGGATACTCAGGGATCAGTGGTGATGCTGCTGCTGAGCTCTTTGCAGTGTCACCTTAGCCAGGGTTTGAAATTGGTGCATTTCAGAAACTTGACACTGAAGAGTGAGGCACATTGTGTTCACCCATCTGCTATTTCAGCTCCTTTCTTGGCTTTCCCTTGTGTTGTTCCCTGTTTAAATTCAAGATGCTCATCCTTCCTCCCAGACCTTCCACAAGGTACATCCCACCCTCCCACCTTCAGACGATCTGGTTCATCTTTCCCAGAGCTGTGCATCTCCAGAACTGCCCCAAACCAGGATATTTTGTCACCATCAGAGTATGAAATATTCCTTTAGCAGCACCAGGTGTCTTTGAGGGCCCAGCACCTGACAGTGATAACTTCTATTCCACAGGGAAGCAGAGCAGGGCATCAAACCCATCTCCAGTTAGAGACCAGCCTTCCTCCTTCAGGCTGCATTAAGGGATATTAAGGCAGTTTTTGTCAAGAAAACCCTGGTAAGTGGCTGATCTTACCTTGAGATTTTTTTTAGAATCCTGCTCGGAGCATAGAGCAACCCAGGCTGCCACAGCTTAGACACAGAAAATTCTCCAAACCACATTCCTCCTGTACTTCCCTTGCACTGGGAATCAGCACATCTCAAACTCTTTCTTTATAAATGAGAAGAGAGCCACCAAAGGAGAAAGGTTAGCTTTCTAAATACCTGGATTATTCCAGAGCTGCTGCAAACAGCTTTCTGTAGCATTTGCTATATCCTAACAAGTGTTTCACAGGCTGAAGTTTATCTCTAAAATTGAATAATCCATAAAACAAACTCTCAGACCCAACAAACCTGTTGTTTGTCCTGCCACAATGAACATTTGCATCTGAGCTGCATTGCAAATGGATTTTATTCAAAATTAGGCTTGTGTGTGATGGTTTTTTTCTCTGACATATGGACTTGCACACGTAGTGGCCTTGTCTAGCAAGTGCTTGGCACAGACTTCCTCCCTTTTTTTGTGTTTCCTGAATTGCTGACAGCTTTATGTGGAAAAGAGGGTGTTGGACACCCACAGGTGGAGGGTGGATTCTGAACCAAAAAGCTGCCCAAGTGGCAAAATGTATGTGGTGATTTTTCCATCAGGAAGCTGATATCTGCCCAAAACTCTGCAGGATGAAGCAGGACAGCCCAACACACCCAGTGCAGGCAAGCAAAACATTCAGCTGATTCTCTGACTGATAACCCACAATTAATGATGTTGGAAGCTTTTTCTTTAGAACTCCTTCCTTTTGTCTAAACCAGCTTTCTGACTCGGTGTGCATTAATTAATAGGCACAAATTTCTCTTCCATTGAATTGAGTGAGTGCATCCCAGAGATAAATTTCTCTTGAATGAGAAAGGAAAATAATGGATGATGGTGCTGGTGACAGATACTCATCTCTGACAGTCCTGGGCACAATGATAAAGTGAACAAACCTTCTTTTGTTCTGTTTTAAAATGAGTGGAATGACTCCACTGCTGCCCACTGCCTGTGATGCTGATGAACATGAACTCATCATTCTGAAAACCAGAGGCACAGCCCAAATTCATCCTCATGACTTTGTTCTGCTGCAGAACAAATGCACTGTTAGCTGGTAATTGTCTTTTAATTCAAATGTAGTTGTCATTAGGACATGAAAAATCCAAGGCTTTGGGTTTTGCGTTGCTGGGAGCCACTGAATACATTTCAAAATTATATTTAGGACAGAAATTGGTCCTTACAAGCTGCTGGCTGTTCTTGTAGGGTATCAAAATGCATTTCCTGTAGGTTTCCCTCCTCTCCCACACTTTGATGAGGACAGAGCTCTTGGTAGACAATGCTCATGTGATCAGACTGTATGAAAGTGGTGTCTTGATAAATTATAGCTGCAATAGCTAAGCTTATCTGAAGTTTTTATTCAAGGCATTTTCTTAGCAAGGCTTCCCACCACGATCTTGGCTCACAAATCTTTATTCTTTGCTCTGCCTGAAGCAGAGAGATGGAGTTTGCCTTCTCAGCACAGCCCTGAGAACAGGAATTGCAGTTCCTCTGATATCATCTCGCCTGAATTTTTTTTTTTTTGTCTGCTTTTAAAAGGTCAAATGTTTTTTGCTGATGTTCAGTGTGTTATGAGGTCAAATAAATGAATGTTCATGAACTGCTTTTGCAGAAAGCTGTGTGCAGCAGATAATTCCTGTGTGTGTTCATTGCTCTGTCAGATAAATGCAGCTGTAGTATTTCCTGGTTTATTCATTGTTCTGAAGCATTGATGCTTAGCAGGTCTGGACAGAGGGGTCAGCAAACAACAAATTAAGGGATTGCTGTGGTACTAATCTGGTTGAGGTTTATTTATGTCTCCTCTGGACTCTGGGGGTGCCTGTGGATTGCTTTCTCCAGCTGATCAGGAAAGGAAAGTTTGGCATGGCAGGATGGAAGTGCTAAAAGTGGTGATTGATTATTTTACTGATCCATGCTGAAATGAAGGTGAGAGGGGATTGCACCAAATCAAATTTAAGGTTTAGGTACAGTCTGGATTCTCATTCAGGAATCTGGTGAAGTGATTGCCAGTCCTTCCTCGTGCCTTCCTCCAGGTGCTCTGTCCAGGGGAATCTCCAGACAGTGCCTTGGGATCCAGTTCTGTTTGGCCCCAGGACAGGCACATTTGATCTCTTGCTTCCTGCACTTGGAGGCTCACAGATTCCAGGTTCTGGGATCCCTTAGGGCTGGCTTAAAACACATCAGCTGCTCAATCAGGGCCCTGGAAATTTGGGACGGTTTTGTATCAGCAGAAAATGGATTCTGCTTTGGTTTCCATCTGATTTGCCCTGGTGCAAATTTAGGCTGCAGTCCTTGAGTGCTTCTCACTGTGGATGGGAAAACAATGCTGACTAATGCAAAATTCAGTTCTGACAAAATTCTGGTGCACACAGAAAACTGGGACAGGGTACAGGTGAAGACTGATTTATTTTCCTTCTCTGACAAGTGTAAAAGGCAAATTTTGCTAAAATCCAGAGCTGCAGCTGTGGAGCAAACAGTGCCCAGCCCTTAGCAACTGACCAGGTAAATTCCTGACAAAACCCCATTTGGACTGGACAAGAGAGGGGTGAATTCCTCACAAGCTGGAAAATAAACCCTTCTGTGTCAGGATGGGTCCTGCTTAGCTGTGGCTGTAACTTTAATTGGAAAAGGTTAATCTGATCTGTTGGTATTTGCAAAAATCTTTAGGAATGAGCACTGCTGGGGAAGTGCTGACTGTTATGATCATGATAGATATGCTTTATCAGCAGTTTGCCTGATGAGCAAGATGCCTTTTTCCCATTTGACTGTGAGGGACCTGCCTCCTGGAGAGCAGAAGAAAAATATTTCAGAAAAAAAGGGAAAAAAATTGGGTGTCCTGTTGTTTACTGGATTCTGCCTCCTGTTGAGCACTGTGTGTGGTCATGGTCCCTCTGTGCTGGTACCAGGACTATTTACAGGAGCAGGGAGTGACAGGACAAGGGGAATGACTTCACCCTGATAGAGGGGAGGTTTAGGGTAGGTATCACCAAAAAGTCCTTCCTTGTGAGGGTGGTGAGGCCCTGGCATAGGGTAACAAGAGCAGCTGTGGCTGCCCCTGGATCCCTGGATGTGTCCAAGGCCAGGCTGGACAGAGCTCTGAACACCCTGGGACAGTGGAAGTTGTCCCTGCCCATGGCTTGGATACCTTGAATCTGCTTTGTCAACCATGACAAGGCTTGAGGAAAGTGCTGGAGGCAGTGTTTTCATGGATGCCTAAGATGTTATTCCTTGTTTTCTTTATTTTGAGGGTGAGTGGTGGTGTTCCATGTTTGACACACAAAGTGCAGGCTCAGAACTGAGCAGAGTCACATGTTTTATGGAGAGGAAAATCCTCCTGGGAGGAGCAGGCAGAGTTCATGATTAATTTGTAGAGCGTGCATGCACGCCATGGATCCAGGAGGGAGGGGAGCTGTTTCCTTTATGCTTTTCCATCCTCAAAAGGAACACTTGTAGCTGCTAAGACTTTCATAGGTGTGGGATCTGAAAACTCCCATTTCTGCCAACAAAAAGAGACCCAGACTTGAGCTGCCTTGCAGGTGCTGTCAGATGATGTCAGAGTGTAAAATGGTGTTTCCATCCTGAATAGGGTTTTTAACTGTCTCTTGCTATCAGGAGTAGTCTTCAGAGGCTGTGCCTTGCTTTGGCTGCTGTCAGATGTTCAGATTAAAAAAAATAAAATACTGAAGTACAGTTTATAGAGTAGCTTCTACCTTCAGAGCTTGTAGGGAGCTATAAAGGAGAGTGTAATGAAGGAATCCTGCATTTCCCATGTGGAAAGTAGGGCACAATGGAGAGAAAAACTGGTTTGGTGACTCATGGCCTTACCTGGTGGCCCAGAAAACCCAGGTCCAGCTCTCATTTTTCCCTTGGGCTTCTGGGGTGTCACAGCAGTGAGTCAGCCAGGGGACAGCAGGGCTGGCTCTGCTCCCCACTTTCTCCCTGGCTGGCAGAGCCCAGGGTGGTGCTGAGTTCCCCAGAGGGGTTTGGGAAATCAGGCTGGTGGGAATCATTGTCACACCTCTGCAGTCATTTCCAGAGACCCTAAATCCCACTGCGGGCTGGGACAGCGCTGTCACCTCTGTGAGCTGAGTGTTCTGCCTATTTTCCACTGCAGGTTTCTGTGAAATCCCCTGCTTCCTCTGCCCAAATCTCTTCCTCTGGAGCATCACCAGCGTGTGGAGCCTGCCCCACACACCCATCCCCTGCCAAACCACGGCCTTTACCTGCGTGTTCCGGTGTTTCCCGTGCGACCCGTCCTGCGGGAGCGCCTCCTGGGCCACCCCGGAGTTCAGCCAGCGCTCAGTGGCTCCAATGGTGAAGATGACAAGGTCCAAGACTTTCCAGGCATATCTGCCTTCGTGCCACAGGACCTACAGCTGCATTCACTGCAGGGCTCACCTGGCCAACCATGATGAGCTCATTTCCAAGGTAGGTGCTCCCAGGAGCAGACGGTATCCTCGCGCTGCACGTCAGTGGCTGTGGAAGTGCTTGGCCTTATCCAGCTGCCTTTTTCCTTGGGAAATGGGCTCTCAGCCCAAAAGATCTATTTGTGAGCTGGTGGTTTTGTTTTAACTGCTTGGGGTCTTCACTATCCTCACAAGTGCAGGGGCTGGTACTGATCTCTTCTCTCTGGTGACCAGGGAGTGGCTGAAGCTGAGTCAGGGGAGGTTTAGGTTGGATATCAGGAGAAGGTTTTCACTCTGAGGGTGGTTGAGCACTGGAAAGAGGCTCCCCAGGGTTTGATCATAGCACCAAACCTGTCTGAATTCAAGCATTTGGACAAAGCTCTCAGGCACAGGGTAGGATTGTTGGAGTGTCCTGTGCTGGAGTTGGACTCTCTGATCCTGATGAGTCCCTTCCAACTCTTGAGGGGTGTCAGGATAAGCTAAATTAAAAGCTCTCAGAGCCAGTAAGTGTTTTGATGCTGAAGAAGGAGCAGGCCAGTAAGAAGATCTTGTTCTGAAGTGGAAAAACTAAACTTTCCCAGTATCTGCTGGAGCCTGCAGTGCCTGGCTGTGGTCAGGCATCGAGTTCCCAGGTCTCGGCTGCCTTGGAATAACTGTTCCGTAAAGTTTATTCAGCTTACAAAATCAGTGTTCAGAAAAAACAGGCACAGCCAGAGATTTATGAGCTGAATTGAGTGGAAAGGGTGCTGTGAGCTCTGTGTGTGCAGCTTGAATAGTTCAGCTTCTTGGAGCAGCCTGGAAAGGCTGGGATCACTAGGGACAGAGGAGCTGTGCCCCTTGCAAAGGGGTTTGAGGTGTAAATGTAGCAGCATCTGTGCCCTGGAGGTGAAATTGCTTCACTCTTTGGGCCAGCTGGGTGACTCCAGGCTCCTGTGCCCAGTTGAGATGGGGCAGTGACTCCCTGGATTTTGTGTTGAGACACAGAAGGTGCTTAACTAGATGAGGAAAGAGGCTTGTTTTACTTGCTGTTTTTACAGTAGATTAGAGTTTCTGCTCTGCTTTTGTTTTTTGACACAGCTGGTCCCCAGCCAAGGGGAAAAACAAGGCTGTACATTCCCCGTGCTTTCACCTTTGATGCTTCCTTCCCCTCCTTGTTCCATGTCCATGCTCCAATGCAGCCAGCTTTGCAGGTTAAGTGGCTTCCAGCAGGGCAATGCCAGTGCTGCCAACTGCTTGGAATTTGAGCTTCTAGCCCAAGGCAGGCAGAAACTGCCCAGGAATGCTGACTGCTAAAATAGACAGGAGAGGGAAAGGAGGAAGCACAATGTGACTTTTGGAAGTGTTAACTCCAGTGTGCTCTGGAATCTGCTCCTTCTGAAGTTCATTCTAGACCAAGGTGTAAATTAATAGTTGGGACCACATCGCCGGTGGAGCCACTAGCAGGTCATGGAATTTGAATGCAACGAGTTTGGGGTTTCAGGGTTTGTTTCTCAGGGTTGTAAACATGAATAAAAACACATTCTTTGTATAATTGGAAACCTTATAAAAGTAGTTGTGCAATCATGGCTTGTACAAGTGGCTGTTTGACAGAACAGAAGGGCAGTCCCTGCCTCAAGGGGCTTCCAAATGTGGAGGAACTTTCCCAGGCAAACTTAAATAGTGGCTTTTTTATCTGTTTGAATTCAGTTTGCAGAAGGCCTAGGGGAGATGTTTCAGTTCTTTCATCACAGCCTTATGTTCACATCCCTGAACGAGGCGCTGCAGTTGCTTGTTTTCCACATGAAAATGTGGCAGAGGAAAAGGGAGGAACGAGGATGGAAAAGGGAGTGGGAGATTCTGCAAAAGCAGGAGCATTCCTGAGGCTGTGCTGAAGCTTATCCTGAACCTGACTGTGCCACTGGGATCCCAAATGACACCATCCTTGGAAACATTCCCCACAAAACAGGCTTTTATGTAACAGCAGGGTGCTGGTGATTTGCCTCCATGAAAATAATTCCTCTGCTCCTTTTGCCCCGAGCTGTGCAGAGACCACACCAGAGCTGGGCTGCTCTGTACTCCAGGAGCTTTTAGCTCCTTTGGATGCTCACAAGTTGCAGCACTGGCTTGAGCTGTTGGATGAAACACAACTGGAGCTGAATCCCAGGATTGTTCTGTGTCAGCCCATACTTTCATTTCCTTTCCATCTCCCAAGTCTCCCCTCTCAGCCCTTCAGCACCACTGTTAACTTAACTTTGGTTTCAAAGTGTTTTGCCAGCACCAGGTATCCAAAACTCTGACAAATATGCCTTGGCAAGGCAGTTTTTGCTCCCTTCACTACTTCAGGAGAACCTTGTGTTTTAAAAGGGGTAGAAGGTTTCTCAATAAACCATTGCTATTTAAAGAAAACAATCGATGCTGAGGCTTTTAAGAAAATCCAAAGCTGTTACATGAAGCCAGTTACCAAATGTTGCTTACTTGGCCTTTTATCTCCTGCTGCCTGAGGGAGAAAGTGGTTTAGTGTGTCTGATTTTGTAATAAGATCTAAATTGTAGGTTGGACTGTCTGGCCAAGAAAGGCCTTATTGACTTAGGAAATATGAAGGTGATCAGATAAATTGGGTGGAGTGAGTAGTTTTCCTTTCTGTGTTCCTTTGGTGTCTGGCTTAGCATGAGTGGAGGTTCTTGTTCCCTTGGAGCAATGCATCATTTAAAAGGCTGTGCCAAATTTAGTACATACTCTTGTTTCATTGCTTTTTCCAGTGCCTAAGTGGGCTGAGACTTTGGGAACTCAACCCTGCCCTGCAATAGATCCCTGTATGACCTTGAGGAAGTCACTGAATGTCTTTGTTCCTTCTTTTCCCCACCTGAAATGTTACTGCTTTTGTCCAGTCTGTTTGGAAGATTCTGGAGCAGGTCCTGTCAGCTCCTGCAAATTAGCACAGGGTGTCCCAATTCTCTTTGATTTCAATGTAAAAACAAAATCACCGTGCCAGGCAACCGTACTTAAAAAGCATATTTCAATGCCAAAAAATAAGTGAAAGGTACTTCTTGTTACAGGCACGACATCCCATGGTTTTCAGAATGTTTAAGAAAAATATATATTCCATAATCAATGTCTCCAGGAAGGAGACACAGGAGTTTTTCTTGACAAATGTGCCTTTTACATCATTTTCTAGTGGGGCCTGAGGGGAAAAGCCAACAAAATAGAAATTTAACAAGGTAAAGTTAGACAAGTTTCTCAAACTGGCAGGGGTGATGCTGATTTCTACCTGCTCTGTGCTATTCCAACTCTTTCTGTTGGAATCCACATGCACTTGGTGCCCTTAAAGGAGGATGGGAACAGGAGCAGAAAGATCCAGGCCAAAGATGCCACTTGAGTGTCTTGGGTTCTGATTTTTTGTGTTATTTGAGCAGTAATTCAGCAGAAATGTCCCTGATTATGGAAATATGTGGAGAATGTCTTGTGGGCGTCCTGCAGTTTCTTTTTTTCAGTGAATTACTGTGATCCAAGTGCTAAACATTACTCAGTGATGTATCCTCTGAAGTTAGCCCGAGGCTTGCCGGCGAAGTTTAATGTTTTCTTTTGATGTCTGCATGGAACTTCGCTGAACATGAATGGGAAATTCTTCAGCACAAAAGGCTGCAGCTCCTCCAGCGATGAGAATTTAGGAAAAATCAGGACTCCTGTGTGCTTGGCTTTCTCATTTGGGGCTGGGTTGTTAATGAGGGAGCACTTAGAAGCTCTTTTTGATCTTCTCAGTCGGGAGTTGGGAGGTTTATCAGGAAAATTCCCTCCCAGTCCTTGTGGCCTCTCTCTTTCCTGGCTGCTGGAGCCTGAGCCTGGTGGTTCAGCAGCTCTTGGTGAGATTTATGGCTCGCTGAAAGCATCAAGCTTTGCTCCATGTTGCAACTGGAGGATCTGAAAAGGATTTGAGGCTTTGGTGCTTCCACAGAAGCTGTGGATGAATTCAGCTGCTTGGGAGCATTTGATGCACCCCATACAGGTGAAAGGAGCAGCATTGTTGGCTTTTTTGGTTTGGCTCTTTGCTTTTCTTTCTTTTTTTCTTTCTTTCATGTGGACAAGGCAGTGTTTAATGTTCTTGAGGTTCTCAGGAACAAGCTGATATTTGTAGTTCACTTTGAAGATGTGAAGTTATTTGCTGGATGGGGGCAACATGCACACAAGGTAAAACAATAGATTTAAAATTACAGCGTGGTAATCTTTACCCTGATGGAAAAAGAGGCATTTAGTAAAGTGTCCAAGACATGTCTGATGAAAATTCTGCATTTCCATCATAGGAAAAACCTGTGTATGAGGTGAGATGGGTATTCCCTTCTCAAGGCTAAAATTCTTACTTTTCATTACAGAGATTTTATTCTTGCTTTAAAGTCGATCTTGTTCTTTCCCAAGTATGAATTCAAGTTCCCAGTTCCACAGTAATGAGCTCTTAAGGCCAGGAGGAGCCATCACATCATCATGCCTGACCTCCTCTGGGGCATGGGCCAGTGGATTTCACCTGGATTGCAGCAATTCTTTCAGGAAAAGCATTTAGTCTCCATTTGAAGACTTCAAGAGGGGAGATTCACTGCTCCCTTTAGTCATTTTTTTCCAAGGGTTAATCATCCTTGCTATTAAAAATCAGAGACTTTGAATTTAGATTTGTCTCACTTGTGCTTCCCATCACTGGCCATTATTTTATTTCTTTTGCTAATAAAATACATCCCTAGTCCCTATTCTTCTCCCTATTAAAAGTCTGCAGTAACCAAAGTCACTCCTGATCACTTTTTGGACAGACTAAACAAATTCAGCTCTGTGATGGTGCAATCTGATTTTTTCCAGTTTTGCCTAATTTTTGTGGTTCTCTTCTACATTTTTAGCATTTCAGTATCTTTTTTAGGGATGGAAACAGAGCTGGTCTCATTGTTGCAGCCTCAAGATGCAGCAGCATCTTTTCAGCTCATACATTTCATAATTGTATCAGTCTCACTGGCTTAGCACTGCACAGAAATCTTCTGTTCATTTATTTGCTGTGAGTTCTTCATG